ATGCGGGATCCTCCCAGACCAGGGCTCGAACCCGTGTCCCCTGCATCGGCAGGCGGACTCTCAACCACTACGCCACCAGGGAAGCCCGATCATTGATTTTTTTTTTTTAAGTTATTTATTTATTTATTTTTGGCTGTGTTGGGTCTTTGTTTCTGTGCGAGGGCTTTCTCTAATTGCGAGCGGGGGCCACTCTTCATTGCGGTGCGCGAGCCTCTCACTGTCGCGGCCTCTCCTGTTGCGGAGCACAGGCTCCAGACGCGCAGACTCAGTAGGTGTGGCTCACGGGCCTAGTTGCTCCTTGGCATGTGGGATCCTCCCAGACCAGGGCTCGAACCCGTGTCCCCTGCATTAGCAGGCGGATTCTCAACCACTGTGCCCCCAGGGAAGCCCCCCGATCATTGATTTTTTGATGTTACTATTACAACTTGCTGAAGGCTCAGATGATGGTTAGTGCTTTTTAGCAGTAAAGTATTTTTCTTAAGACATGTACATTTTTAAAGACAATGCTATTGCACACTTAATAGACTATAGTGTAAACATATCTTTATATGTACTGGGAAACCAAAAAAATTTGTGTGACTCACTTTTTTGTAGTATTTGCTTTATTGTCGTGGTTTGGAACCAAACGCACAATGTCTCCAAGTTATGCCTATAAAAAGAATAAGAAAGCTTTAGGTATGCAACTGTAGTGTGATATCCAAGATATACTGTTTAAGTGAAAATGGTCATTCAGAGAATTAAGTGTCTATACATCCTTAAAGATTTATATCCTAAGTTCAAAAAGAATTGCCAAATATCTTAATCTGCATTTAGTAATCATATTATTAGTAATGATATTGCTGTTGTTATTTTGAACACATTAGATAGTATGATAAAGCAAATAAGTACTTATATTAGAAACCAAGAATTTTAGCATAAGAAATATAAATGCCAATCAAAGGACTTAAGTAAAAACCTTATAATAATATTGGAATTATATAAAAAAGATGCCAGTGCCAACTTGAAGTGTTTCCCATTGGCCAGAGTGTGTCAGTTTGACCATGACAAAGAATAACTGCAGTGGATGGAAACATATGAAACAGTTAAAATCCATGAATTCATAATAATATCTTTTTAAAAAAGTATTAGTCACCTTTGGAGGGTGCTAGTATATCAAGTCATTATTCTGAAAACTTATTTTTGAAAATTCAAGTATTTGTCTTACTTTTCCAATACAAACTGTATTCGGGTAATAATGAAATACGACTGTTACCATTTTGCAGTTCCTAGTGAAATAGTGAATCTAGGCAGTGATCATCATCAATGACTGCTAAAAGCATTAGAAGATTAACAAGGAATTTTAATGGCTAGATTAGTTTGTTGACCCTTGATGAATCAACAGAACAGTTGTAATATCACAAGAAGAAAGATAACCAGATGATGACATTAGCCTCCTGATTGAAGTGGGAAGTACACAGTACCACATATAACATGTTCAGATTTTTTAAAATGTGCCTGAATCTGATCAAGCTACTAGATCATTTTAATAGGAAATGTAAGGGAAGAGTGTGTTAAATGATATCATGGGGATGCAAAATCCAGAATATGGAAAATTTTATAGGATAGCTGATCTAGTTTCTTCTACAGATACCTGGTGGATATGGGAGTTGGCAGAGTATGGGGGAGAGGCATTTGACAAATAAATTTGAGAGACATCACCCAAATGCAGTGTAGGGATCTTAGTTGGATCCTGATTCCAATAAACAATTGTAAAAAGAAATTTATCAGACTAGGAAATTTTAACAGTGATTAGATATTTCCAGCCATTAAGGAAGTGTTAATTTATTGATATAATTAATATGTTTTACAGAAGAATCCTTTTATAACCACATACTAAAATATTTACAGATAAACTGCTGTTTTTACTTTATCCAAATTTGTCAGGGGTTGAGAACATTGTTTTTCAATTCATTGATTTTGGTTTTATATTTATGAAATTTCTTCATTTTATTATTGTGATTATATTCTTTTCCTATTTCTTGAAAAGGCTATGAATGATGCTTCAGATTTTTAATGTCCAGTGTTCTCATTTTTATTGCTTTTTAAGTATTCTGTAATTATCATTTTAATTTCTTCTTTTATCCAGTAATTTGGAGAGTTTTAAAATTTCCAAGTTCTTGGGTTTATTATTGTTTGTTTACTTTTTTCTTAATGATTTCTAATTTTATTTTCTTCTAAACAGAGAGTCAGACCTTAACAGATTCTGCTTTATTGATGTTTTCTTTGTGTATTAATTTATAGTCCATCTTTGGAAATGCCCCTTCGATCCTTGGGAGGGAAAAGGTATATCTTTGCAGTCTATATGTATGTTTTCAGTCATTCATGTATCTTTGTTTCAGTCATTAAATATTATTCATACTTTCTACATCCTTATATTTACTAAGAGACAGTGTATCAATGACGAAGTACAGTTGTGTTTCTGTCAAATTTTCCTTTTATTTTTCAGTTTTGACAATTTTGATGCTATTTGACATGTCACAGTTCATTATCTATTCATCATGGATTGCATCTTTTTCAACATAGGATTCCTTTTTCTATCTAATGCTTTTTGCGTTGACTTCTCTCCAACACTTAATATTGCTAGTCCTTCTTTCTTTATTTCTTGGTGTCATGTCCCATTGTTTTGTTTTGAACCTTTTTGTGTAAGAATGCCTCATGTAAACAGCGTATAGTTTAATTTTATTTTTTGACTAAATATGGTAGTCTTTTTATTTTAGTAAGTGCTACCATTTGCTGAGAAACTGCTTACTATGTACAAGGACTATGCCAAGAAACTTGCCATATATAATTTCTCATTTAATCCTTAGAACAGACCGAAGAGGATAACCCTATTATCCCTATTTCAGAGATAAGGAAATTGAGTTTCAGAGAGGTAAAGTAATTTACACAGGTAGATCTTTCTTACTCACTACCTGAGGCTGTCAGAATATTTTTCTCTCAAATCCTAAACTGTAATCCAATTCCATGGTATTTATCTAAAGTGCCCTGCCAGACTGAGGAGAGATGTTGCTACCTGGGGAGAAGATAATTTATTCCTGAATAAATTAGAACTGTCTGTAGTTCTTCCATTACCCAAACAGTACATGAAAAACTATAAACTCAGTGGCTTCATGTCCTAGAATACAATAAAACCACTTCCTATCCATTTCTCCTCTTATTACTGAGAGTTGTTTTCCCTGAGTAGATGTATAAAGAAAGTCACTGATTGATGTGAGAGGCTGTTGACACTTCCCCAGTTGCATTAGAGAGCAGCTTCCTTACCGTGGCGAAGACGCTTTCCTCCTGGTCAGCTAAGTCTCTGCAAGAGTGTATAAAGTGGGTATGAATGAAGATCTTCTGCCTTCTTCCTATTTGGCCTAACATTTCTTCTTTGTGGTCCTGTCTGTTTTGTTTTTTCTTTGCGGTACGCGGGCCTCTCACTGTTGTGGCCTCTCCCGTTGCAGAGCACAGGCTCTGGACATGCATGCTCGGCGGCCATGGCTCATGGGCCCAGCCGCTCCACGGCATGTGGGATCTTCCCGGACTGGGGCATGAACCCGTGTCCCCTGCATCGACAGGCGGACTCTCACCCACTGCGCCACCAGGGAAGCCCCTGTCTGTTTTTGATTAGTGGAAATACCTCTTGAGATGTGGTAGTTCACAAGCATTCCCCATTTCCTGTGATATTGCAACTTGGCAAATTTTTCTATGTTTCATCAACATTTCAATGGGAAGGTAAGGTTAAATAAATTAGTTGCTAGTAGTTTGTCAAAGCAAGAACCTTCAAAGCCATTAGTCTTTTCTTTCTACTTTTAAATAGTATGAACTATGTTTGTGATGGGACATTGATGGTTGAGGGGTGGCCTGGAATTTTTGCTAATAGTTTGCCAATATATTTTCTTAAGATGTCTTATGAAGTTAATGAGTGCCGAAAAATTGAGACCCATGAAAATTTGGATCTGGATTTTGATGATGACGTTACAGAACTTGAAACTTTTGGAGTAACCACCACCAAACCATCAAAGTCACCGAGTCCAGCAAGTACTTCCATAGTACCCAGCGTGACAGATATGCCCACAGCCCCCAGCATAGCAATCACATCTGAGGCACCAATTGCACCAGACATGACTGCTCATTCTAGAAGTTTATCTCAGATTCTGATGGAACAGCTGCAGAAGGAGAAACAGCTGGTGACTGGTATGGACAGTGGCCCTGAAGAGTGCAAAAATAAAGATGATCAGGGATTTATCCCCTGTGGTGAAAATGTATCAAATTCTGAGAAGTCTTTGGTACAAGATAGTGACTTGAAAACATCTGATGCCTTACAATTAGAAAGTTCTTCAGAAATTGAAACCTCTAATAAAAATGATATGGCTTCTGATATGGAGTGTGTTGATGAAAGAGTGAACGTTCCAGAGAACACAGACAATAATTCAAAGGAAAAGCCTGTTATATCAGAAGCAGCTAAAACTGAAGATGTAATTCTTTGCCATAGTGATACAGATGAAGACTGTTTAATCATTGATACAGAGTGTCAAAATAATAGTAATGGAAAGACTGCTGATATGGGTTCTAATTTAACTTCTATACCAGCTAGCCTAAATTCTTCCTCAGGACAGGCTTCTGTAGGAAACCAGACTAATACTACTTGTAGTCCTGAAGAGTCATGTGTTTTAAAAAAACCTATCAAACGAGTGTATAAAAAATTTGATCCAGTTGGAGAAATTTTAAAAATGCAGGATGAACTCTTAAAACCAATTTCCAGAAAAATACCTGAAATGCCGTTGATGAATTCAGAAAATTCTAAACAACCTCCTAGTTCTGAGCAACCCTCTGCTACTTCAGATGCCTCTAGTTGGCCAAAATCTATATGGCCTTCTGCGTTTCAGAAGCCAAAAGGACGTACGTAAATATTTACAAAGAATTTTATATTAACTGTTTTGCTTGTTCCTTATCCTTAGGTTTTTTCCCCCCCTTTCCCCTACTTTCTCTTTGTTATAATATGTTTATGATCTTTATATAGTCATTGAGAGTTCATTTTCCAATCTACTGATCAGTATTTCAGCTTTCAAAACCTTCACTCTAACGATGTACCCACAGTTGTATGGATTTTTGTAACCTATGTTTATCCAACATTTACGATGGCTGCTAAGCTATAGATAATGTGGTTTGCTGAACTGATGAAGGGAAAATCCATCAAAAATAATGATAAATATTTATTAGTCTAAATTTACTTATTCTTGGTGTTTAGACTGTAGTTTTGTACTTTTTCATTTTGTGAAATAGGTGTAAGGCTGCACCTCAACTCTGCCTCGATTATGAATAACACTACTTTTTTAAACTTTTTTTTTTCTTCCTATGTTGTCTCACAGATTTATACTTTGCCTAGGGTTAGTGAAGTTAGTAGGTAAAAGGAAGAGAACCCTAAAGCTTTGATTTCAGCTCTTGCTGGAGTTCCAGTAAAAGTAAACAGAAATGGTAATAGTGTAATGGTCAACTCAGAGGAAACAGAAGGTTGATAGTTGAATTGTTTTATCTTGGATTATGATGGATAAAGGGCTAATGTATTTTAAAATAAAAATGACAAATATAATTATTTTTAAAGGATTGCCATATGAACTTCAGGACTATGTTGAAGATACATCAGAATATATAGCTCCTCAGGAAGGAAATTTTGTTTACAAGCTGTTTAGCCTACAAGACCTGTTGTTACTTGTGCGATGCAGTGTCCAGAGGATAGAGACCAGACCACGTTCTAAAAAACGGAAGAAAATCAGAAGAGTAAGTTGTTACCTGGGGAGTTAAGGTGTGGTAGCATAAGTAGATGATAAGCAAATATTTAACATGCCATTCTTATGAAGTTTAATTTTAAATTGTTGATCACTTTTAGAGTAGTTTTTTCAGGTTGAGTTTTTTTTAGTAAAATACTGAAAACACTTTTAATAAAATAAAGTGTTTAGTTCAATGTAATAGTCATGAGTGCCAATAACATTCTTGCATGGAATATATAAACTTTGTGAAAAACGGCACCATTATAGATACGACCTAGACTGGCACGTATGTTCCAGCTTTCTCTGTGAATTTGGTTTTCCTTTATGACATATTAGCCTCTTTCTCTCTTACTTTGGGAAACTTTTTGAGTCATTTTAGAAGTTCACATTTTGAAAAGTGGGCTTTCATACACATTTGAAATGTCTTCCCAGGACCGTTAGAAAACCAAATGTCTTCCTTTCTTTTTCCCCTATTGTTTCTTTGGGGATTTGATATAAATATTTCCCTCAGTTAAAAAAGTTTTTGCTACAATTTGAGTAATTTGTTCTTTCGGCAGTTTGCTGTATTTGATATTTTAAGCTCTCTTTCAGATTAATTTGATTTTTGTGTGTGTAACCACTGAATTCAGGTAAATAAAGAGGAGCCTTTATGGTATAATTGATTACGTAAGAAATAGTGAAGTCTCTTTAATTTTTTATTAAGAGATTTTTTTCAGTTGTATCCATTATATCATAGTTCACTTTTCCTTCCTTCCTCCCTCTTTCCTTTCTTCCTTCCCTCCTTTCTTCCTCCCTCCCTCCCTTTCTTCCTTTTTTTTTTTAATTTAAAAAAATTTAATTTATTTATTTATTGCCTACACCGTGTGGCATGTGGGTTCTTAGTTCCCTGACCAGGGATCAAACCCACGCCCCCTGTATTGGAAGCGTGGAGTCTTAACCACTGGACCACCAGGGAAGTACGTTCCTTCCTTTTTTTTTTTTTTTTTCCAGTACTTGGGCCTCTCCCTGCTGTGGCCCCTCCCATTGCGGAGCACAGGCTCCCGACGGGCAGGCCCC